TGTGCCCCGTCTCACCGACTACGAATCACCAGCAGTAGGCACCATAACAGCATGCTCTGCGGTGGCCATTTCCCAGGTGGGTGGGTGTTAACGGGTATATATATATATATATATATATGATGACAGCAAAGTGCTATTTAACTTTTGTCGGCGTCAAAGTTTGTGCATGACCATAGCCATTCTTGAGTCCTAAACTTTATACTTAAACCCAATTTCAATATTTTTTTTTTGGGTTCGTCTTCTAACAGATTCTTCAGTTTGTGTGCTACGAAATCCCGAATTGGCGGTTGGCGCTCCGCGGGCGCTTTCTGGGGAAAGTCATTTTGCACGTACTGCTATTCGTTGCTATGGGTATGTCCGACATCTCGTCTAGAGTTTAGGGGTTGAGGTTTAGTGTTTGAGTTTAGGGTTTTGTAGATATCTGGAAGTGCTGTACTAAGTAAGAGTGTTGGTGTTAGTACGTCGGCTGTTAGTGAGTAGTGTGGGGACTGCTGAGCCGTCGAGGGTTTAGGGTTTAGGGCTAACAGTGCACTGTTGAGTGTTGTGATCACTCGCCTGTCCTGTGGTACTGAGTGGTATCAGCAGCACCATGAAGTAATCCGTGGTCATGTTGAGCATGTGTGTTGGTTAATACGTAATTTCATACTTTACAATTATCAACAATCACGTACTTATATACGTTGCATCTATCCACAATCACGTACTTATATACGTTACATCTATCCACAATCACGTACTTAAGTACGTTACATCTATCCACAATCACGTACTTATATACGTTACATCTATCCACAATCACGTACTTATATACGTTACATCTATCCACAATCACGTACTCGTGTTACTACTAGTCACAACCCCTTGTGTATCTCACAAGCGTATTCTCCTCTTATTGGCTGCTGTTTAGTCGTACTCTTTTCTCATTGGCTGCTGTTTAATCGTACTCTTTTCTTATTGGATGCTGTTCAACCGTACTCTTTTCTCATTGGCTTCTGGTTAATCGTACTCTCGTCTTCCTCCATAGGCTGTTGTGCCATGGTCGTGGTCCATTTCGTTGAGGATGTGGGCGACTTCTCACTGTCAATGCAAAGTGAATTGCTAGACTATTTAGGTAATCCATGTAGTGCTCCTGAATGTGTATATATGTTCACTTGTATGGTGAATTGCTGGACTATTTAGGTACCTTTGACATCCATGTAGTGCTCCTGAATGTGTATGTATGTTCACTTGTAAGGTGAATTGCTGGACTATTTAGGTACCTTTGACATCCATGTAGTGCTTCTGAATGTGTCCATATGTTCACTTGTAAGGTGAATTGCTGGACTATTTAGGTACCTTTGACACCCATGTAGTGCTCCTGAATGTGTATATATGTTCACTTGTAAGGTGAATTGCTGGACCATTTAGGTACCTTTGACATACATGTAATGCTCCTGAATGTGTATGTATGTTCACTTGTAAGGTGAATTGCTGGACTATTTAGGTACCTTTGATATCCATGTAGTGCTCCTGAATGTGTATATATGTTCACTTGTATGGTGAATTGCTGGACTATTTAGGTACCTTTGATATCCATGCAGTGCTCCTGAATGTGTATATATGTTCACTTGTAAGGCAAATTGTTGGCCTATTTAGGTACCTTTAATATCCATGTAGTGCTCCTGAATGTGTATATATGTTCACTTGTAAGGTAAATTGCTGGACTATTTAGGTACTTTTGACGTCCATGTAGTGCTCCTGAACGTGCATATATGCCTCTTAACGTCTGTATTTCCAAAACTTGAAAGAATCTAACTCGTGTGATGTTGTAAAGTGTATTCGTCCATGCACCAGTGGTATACAGCTGACCCCCTAATTTTGTAAATGTCTGACTCATATGATAGTGCAGAGTGAGCAACAGTGTGTTTAAAGAATGTATGTGTTAGTCTTGATAAGATGAACGTCTAGTACTTTTGAATGTTTGACTATGTCTACAGTATAAGAGAGGGTTGTATGTAACTGTCTACGTAATCTTGCATTATGCACAGTATATCAAACATGGGTGTCTCTATGTGCGCAGGACGACAGGTTGTATTATTTCTATATATACATATATATATATATATAGGACGACAGGTTGTATTATTTCTATATATACATATA